GTTATGGATCAGGTAGTGCGGAGTCCATTCAATGTAACAAAGAAATATTGAATAAATCTCACCCCCAAGTCTAGTAGTTAGAGCGTCTTCATTGATTTTCAGTATTGTGGGGTTTTTTGCTGGATTTATTAGTACCTCTCTTAGAAGACAAATCTTATGTCCCAAATCATCTACTTTCTCTTCCTTGGAGAAATAGATATTCAACAGAAATTACTGAAACCTGTGAGATTATTACCCAACACACATGCATCATTCCTGGAGCACTGCAGATATATTTTTTCATATTTGGTGGAGCAAAATGTTGCTTAGATTCTTTTTTTTTTTTTTTTAGTATGTAACCTGGAAATTGTGGGTGTTTTGTTTGTTTGCTATTTCTGCAGTATTGGTGCACTGGGCTTTAATGGTGTGAAAGGTTTTAGGGTCATACATTAATTATTTGGAGAAAAAATATTAACTCCTGGACAAGAATGTATAATGCTTTGTTTAGAGAAAGAGAGAAAATAATGATTCTACATACCTGGCTTCAAAAAAGCTACCAGTTCAGCATTTTCAAAGACCATTAGACAATTTGGATGTAATATTTTCTTTTTTTAAATGTTTTTTTTAAATTATTCATTTCTGAGAGAGAGAGAGAGAGAGAGAGAGAGAGAGGCAGCATGAGCAGGGGAGGGTCAGAGAGAGTGGGAGACAGAGAATCGGAAGCAGGCTCCAGGCTCTGAGCTAGCTGTCAGCACAGAGCCCGACGTGGGGCTCAAACCTGTGAACTGTGAGATCATGACCTGAGCCAGAGTTGGATGCTTAACCGACTCAGCCACACAGGTGCACCTGGATGTAATTTTCATCTCAAGTATAATCATATTATTAGAAACTTTCTCTGAGAGTCAAAGATTTTTTCTTTTTCTTTTTCTTTTTTTTTTTGAAAACTACTGGAAAACGCTCGTCACACAATTTATCCACGAGATAGAAACTAGTGAAAAGAAATCAGAATTTATATCTGGGTAGAAATTTAAAGGCAAATAGGTCACCAACCTTACAGAGACACTTCAAATCACATACTTTGTTATAAATTATAGGAACTTTTGCATGTGTTGACCTTTATTTAAAAAGTTGCTATCAAATGCACTAAAATAATATGATATATTACATAAAACATTTAGAGACCACGATATAATTAGGTTATATTCAATATAGAATCATGGGAACTCAGATTTTAAAGACCCTAAAGTTCATGCTGAAAAATCACCTGTGCTCTTGAGGTAACAGTTAGCACCTGCCGTCCTGGCAAATGAAAGAAAACTGTGTGGATGCTTTTAAGCGCCCCCCCCCCCCGCCCCCCCAAAACAGGTGGCGAAATGCACTTGCTAAATCAGAACTTTGTGGTATGTGCCAGGTGAAGTATTGAATTGCCTAGGGAAAAGGGAAGATATCTGGAAATATAGCTGCAATTAAAGTCAATAATTCTACAATGCACTGAATTCCTTAAAGAAGACGGGTTTTCTTCAGAGGACAATCAAATGTGCTGTAAATCACTAGGAATTACGGTGTCTGCCTATAGAAAGTCTGGTGGTGGTAGTGCTCATCTCCGCAGCTCACCGTTTATGAGTTTCATAGGGAAAGGGAGTCCCCCCCTCTGACTTCCACCTGCCCATCCCGCGAACATCACAGCCAGTGTCACAAGCTGCTGTGGCCTTCTCCTAACTGTCAGTAGCCTCTTGTCCATCCATACACTCAGGCCTGGAGGACACTGCAAGATGAGTCGATGGGAGCCACCACCCTTTTGAAGGTGAGAGAGTGGAGGCATAGAGAGGGAAAAGAATTGTCCAAGATCATCAATGGCTGGTGGCAGAACAGGGATTTGAACCCAGGCAGTCTGACTCTAGAACTCAAGCTCTTAATCAGGCAGCCTGGGATCTTGTTGGAGGAAATGCTTTATCTATGTGAAAACACTTGAGCACAATGTGTGATAACATTGTGCTGAAGTGTGGCTCAAATAAATGCTGTAGGAATTTGGTCTGGAGAGGAACTCCCGGTGCTTGGGCATGACAGTGTGTCAGGCATTGGAACCTGGTGTTTCCACCCTTTCCGTTTAAGGGGAGGTAGCACAGCGTATGTAGAGGGGAAGAGCATGAGCTTTTGGACCTGCACAGGTAGGCTTTAAATCCTGGCGTTGCTACTTATGACCTGTGCGATCTCAGGCAAACTCATTTTTCTGAAATTGTGGCCTTAATTGAAAATAGGGAATGTAACAACCACCTCAGAGAGGACGGTTTACTATCATAAAATAGTATCAGAATATGTTAGGTGCTATTCATTCCACAAATACTGATTAAGTCGCAAGCATTCGGAAGCAGCACTATTAGCCAGAATGCTGCATTACACTGTTATAGTAAACCCCAGATCCCACTGGTTTAACACAGCCCAAGTTTAATATTTGCTTACATTACTTTTCTTTTTTTAATGTTTTTTGTTTGTTTGTTTATTTATTTATTTATTTATTTATTGTGTGTATGAGAGGAGAGAGTGACTGAGAGAGAGAAAGAGAGAGAGGAGAGAGAGAGAGAGAGAGAGAGAGAGAGAGATTGCTCACAGGCAGAGGAGGGGCAGAGAGAGAGACACACACACACAGAATCTGAAGCAGGCTCCAAACTCTGAGCTGTCAGCACAGAGCCAGACAGGGGCTCGAACTCATGAACAGGGAGATCATGACCTGAGCTGAAGTTGCCACCCAGGTGCCCCTCACACTACTTTTCTAATGCAGGTTAGCTGGGCCTCTGTGTCATCTTTACAGAGACCCATACTGGCCTTGGGTGGCTCTGTCTCTGCATTTCCATGGTTGTCCCCATAAGATGGCCAAGACTGAGCTTTTGAGATTCTCAAGGCATGCGGATTTGCCCATTGGCCCTTAAAAGTTTCTACCTGAAAGCAATGCTGATCACTTCTGCTCTCATTCCAATGGCCCAAGCGGGTCATATAGGATAGTGGATTCCTACCACATCCATTAGGAATGGGGGGTGGGGGTGGGGAAGAACCAGGAAATGTTTGGCGAACAGTTTTCATCACCAGTACTCAGTCTGTTTATCTGTAAAACAGATCTGCAAATCCATATTTTAAAAAGAAGAAACAGAAGCTGAGAGGTTAAGTCATTTGACCAAGGTCACACAGCCTATCCATGGGGGATCAACCCATACTTGGCTCACTCTGACTCTTTAATTTACGTGCACAATGTCTAGAGATGATATATAAGCAGAATATAATTTCAGGATGGGGGCGGGGGGGGCCTGCAAGTGTGGAGGACAGAATAGAATTGAACAGACATGGCCTTCCTGTTTGTATTATGCAATGACCAGTGTGCTCTTGGGGAAGGCAGGAAGGGGCAGAGAGGGGTTTATGTCATCACCAGAAGATGGACAGAAGTTGGGACAGGTAAGGACGCCTAGCGCTGGAGTGTGGACGACGGCAGCATTTCGGGCCATTTCTCCGGCAGCAGGGAGGGGGCGTCCAGGCAGGACAGGCTGTTGCAGGAGCCCAGGGTCAGGTGATAAGGGGTAGACCTGGGGAAGACAGCAGGGACCCAGAAGGGGTGAACCTGAGAAGAAGGGCGAGAGTGGCTCGCGGATGAAAAAGTAACGAACAAGCAGGCGGTCTGTACAATGCACCAGACATTCTTCATGCCTCACGCTGCCTACCCCAGTCTGGTACACTGGTATATACATATACCACCATTATACATATAATAATTCCCCAGGACCTCTTTTTCTCTTGCCTCGCAGCTTCTTAGGAGAAGGGGTGTGTGTGTGGGGGGTGCAGCTTCATCGCTCTGGGACCCCGCTCCCCCCGACCGTCGGCCTGCGGGGTACAGTCACCGTTACCATCTCCAAGATCTGGCCCTTTCAGTTAGAGGAAAACTCCCAAGGCCCAAGGGGGCGAAGAGGCCTGCGGGGCGCCTCTTGCTCAGAGGGCTCCGGCCCCGTTCTGTCTGAGGTCCCCGGTTCGCCCACCTCCGAAGGCCGCCTTTGCCCGCAGGGTGGGCGCCTGGCTCGGTCCTGGCGCCCCTGGCGCCCCGCCTCTTCTTCCACGCCCCCAACTGTCTTCCCTTCCCAGGCGGCGGGAGCCCCGGCTGGTGTCGGAGAGCAGGCAGTCCGGCGGCGGGCCCCCGGTTCAGCCTCCCGGCCTCCCTTCCTCCCCGACTCCGCCTTTCCTCGGCGAGGGCGCGGGGCCGGGGTCGAGGCGCCCCCCTCTTGGGCAGCCGCCGCAGCCGGAGGAGGGGGCCTCGGAGGCGGGGTGCCAGCCCCCGCGGGGCGGGAGGGGTGCGCACTGCGGCGGAGGGGCCGTGACTCACCGCCTGTAACCCAACACCCGCGCTGCTCCCCTCCCCCAGCCTCTCCTCCGTCTCCGGCCTGGCGGCCGCGGCGACACCTCAAAGAAAATGAAGGGGCGCCCGGGCCCGTGGCGCCCCCGGCCGGATCGCGAGCGGGTCCCGGGGGCCTCCGACTCGGGGCGCTCCCGCTTCCCCGGTCCCGGGGCTCGGCGAGCCGCCGCCGCCGCCGCGGCCCCGGCGCCGGCAGGCGGGGAGGCCGAGCGGCCAGGGCGCGAGGCGGCGGCGGCGGCGGGCGCGGGCTGTGCGTAGCTGTGGCGGGCGAGCCCGGGGAGGGGGCGCGGGGGCTCGGAAGCCCCCGGGCCCCGGCCCGGCCGAGCGAGGACAAAGCTCCCTGGCCGCCGCTGCGGCCTACCCCGCGCGGCACAAAGGGCGAGTCGCGACACGCACCCATCCCCCTCCCAGCTCGGGTGGCCCCGGGCCCCGGGCGGCGGCGGGGAGGTGGGGAAGCCCCGGCCACGCCGCCCCTCGCTCCCCTCCCCCGGGGCCGGCCGAGCGCGCCGCCCCCGCCCCCGCCCCGTCTGCGCGTCCTCCCGGGGAGGGGTCGGGGGGCGCGGCGCCCCACATAACACTCCCCCTCTTGCGTTCGGAGCCACCCCTCTCCCCTCCCTCCTGCAAACACCGCCGCCTCCCCTGCCACCGCCGCCACCTCGCCTGACGCTCCGCAGCTCGCCGCGGCCGGGGGGCGGTGCGCGGACCGTGCGCGCCGGGGGCGCTAGATGTGCCGTCGCCGCCGCCGCCAGTGACCGCGCCGCAGACCGAGCGGGATCCGGCCGCCTCCCCGATGCTGCGGGGGCGACCTTGAGCGCGCCCCGGCTTCCTCGGCGGGGACCCCGACACCGCGAGCGCCGTGCCCGGTCCTGCCCTCTCCAGCCCGGCTAGCCCCGCGTTCCGACATGGAGGGGGCCGCTGCGCCCGCGCCCGGGGACGGCCCCGACTTGCGGCCGGGGGCGCCGGGCTCTTCCCCGGAGGTGGTGGCGGGGGCAGCCGCAGCCCCTGCGGTGGCGGCGGCCGCGGAGCCCAGGAAGCCGCACGGGGTGAAGCGGCATCACCACAAGCACAACTTGAAGCACCGCTATGAACTGCAGGAGACCCTGGGCAAAGGCACCTACGGCAAAGTCAAGAGGGCCACCGAGAGGTTTTCGGGCCGAGTGGTGAGTGGGGGCAGCCCCGGGGGGCGCGGGCGGGACGCGGCTGCCGACCCGGAGCGCTCGGGGCGGGGGTCTCGGGCACCGAGACTCTCTTTTCGGAGAGGGGCTTCCCGGGAACCCCCAGACAGACTCATTCTCTCCCCAGCTCCCCGTGGTTCAGGCGTGTCTCTCTCTCGAAACACTTGTTACATCCTGTCTGCGCATATTTTGGGGGTTTTTCTCCCAGCAGCAAAGTAGTGTTTATGATTTGCAAACACTTTGCAACGTTGGGACCGTGGAGGTCTCCCTCGCGGGCACGCATTCAGACCCAGCCCTGGAATGCCTCGCTGCTCTAACTCCGAACAGACCCGCATCCTCAGCGGGGAGGTGGCCCCCCAAGCCCTGTGTCCTGTCGATGAATGCGAACCCCCACTGCCACTGCCACTCCCCATCACCCTGGTGCTGCTGTAGCTGCAAGGGAGGGCGGACTCCTGCCTATTTTTCTGTTTGTTTGTTTTTAAGAGGGAAGGTCTGGGAGCAGAAGTTGAAGGCTGCTGCATGCCTGCGCCGTGGTGACAGTTTGCCTCCCGCTTCTGGGTGGACTGAAATGCCCAGGGCACGGGTAGCCACCCCGATGCTGAGTTGCAGCCGACTCCATTGCCTTTCAGGTCCTGGTAGCAGGGCTACTGACTTGCGTTAGGGGTCTGGCGCAGCAGCCCCACTCTTTGTGACAGCTGAAACCCTTCCTGGGTCCCGGGCCCATTTGGAGCGCCTTGAGTGCCTTGGGGTCTCTGCGTTGTCCTGAACTTGGTTTGTTGTCGTTTTTCCTTTCTGCAGAACAGGCCCTTGAAATCCACACCGCTTGTGGCTAGAGGGTTGGGTTCAAAGAGACTGTTGCAGAAAGATTTTGTGCGGTGTGTGGCAGAAAATTAACATGGTTCTTTGATTTGAAGCATATCAGATGTATTTTAATCGATTTAAGGCCAAAGTCGGGAACTAATTATGATACTCCTTGTGTGCGCTTTTCGGCGAGTTTTGGGGCCCAGAGTTGCTTATAAACTTAACAGATGACTACAGGGAAAAAGCAAAATGAACTGTCGAATGAAGCGGTAGGTTGATGTTGGTATTTTTCTTTTCAATCCGTACAGGAACAGTTCTGGGCGGAGGAGGGGGTACCAGTCAGAAAGTTCAGCCCCTAAATTCTCAAATATTTGGATACTTGGATAACTCCCCCATCCTAAGCTTCACGGTTTGGGTTGATCCAACTGTATTCTATAACTTAAAAAAAAAAAAAAGAGTCTATTATAGGTTAATTGGAAATTTGAGACATTGTGCATTGTGTTTTAAAAGGCGTCCCCAATAAACATATCCTACAGCCAGCAAGGGGTTCAGAATTCATTCTGGGCAGGTGCCACTTTTTTGTAGGTTGAAAATTCTAAAGAGACGGTTGTAAAGATGTCCTTTGAGGAACGCACTTTCAGGTTGGTGGAAGAAGAGGCTGAGAAACGTGCACTTCATTCATGCTTTTCTTCTGAGGTGATATTCCCCAGGCTGGATGTTGAATAAGCAAGAACTAAGCCTCGCTCCTTGCTCGTGTTGTCTTAATAGCTGTTGAAGAATCGCGCTGGGAAGTTGGAAAGCGGAATAATGAAAAACAGACGTGGCTGGAGCTGCAGGTTGGAGATGTGAGCCTGTGAGGGGTTGAGTGGTAAGGGTGTGTCTGGGGACACAGAAGCCCGAATGCTGGGGAGCTGCCGCTGTTTGAAAGAATGAAATCTCGTCTTATAGCAGACACCTTTCTGAGCTTCCCTGGGGCCTCCTGTCAGGCATTCATCTTGTTGCCTGATCCGTAGACGAGACTAGAGTGAAAGGGATTGCATCAGTAGACGCGCGCCTGCCTTTCTCTTTTGGTGGGTGTCTTTCCCTTTATTTGCAGAAACTGTGAACATTCCGTCGGGATTTAGTCGAACGGCCAGTAGGGGGCGCCCTGAGAACGGGAGAGGCTCCTTTCTTAGCCGGGAAGACCAGTCCTGCTCTGTTATTGTCCAGCCCTGGTTGTTTCCCATTGTGCTATTAATTTCAGCTAAATCTCTTGTTTTACTAAAAAATTATGTGAAGATTTTGAGTCCGGTAGCAGATCCCGGCTCAGAAGCTGGAAATCCTCAAACTGCTTTCTATTTCATAGATAAGCTTAGAATGTTAGCAGAATCATGTGGTAAGAACCTTGCATTAACCAGATGGGAAAACTGAGGCTGGGTGATGGGAAGGCCTCCTTGGCCCCGAGTCCTCCCCCTGCTGAGCACAGTGCTCACAGATGGTGTAAGAACTTAAGTGAGAAACAGGAATTGTCAGGTGGAAAATTCCCTATGCCTGGCCGAACAGAAAGTAAAACAAACACACAAAAAAACTGGTCAGCAAGTCGCTTTCGCCTGTACAGTGCTTGGTGACTCAGAATCTGTCAAGAGCAGCAAGAAATTTTTATCTGCAGTGTGGACTTGGAGTTTGCTTCTGGTTCTAAGGATGCTCTAAATGTCTACACCTTGCTTTTGGGGGTGTGGTTGAAGAAAGCCGAGAGAGCACTGTCTCAGGTCTGCCTTTCAGTCTTCGGGTAGCATCTGAAGTGCTGTTTTATTTTCATTCGGACCCACGTCCTCTCAAGGGGAGTGGGGGCTTGAACCTGCTTTGCAAGAGTGAGTAGCTGGTGTCCCGGGAGGGAGATACTCTGGAATCAGGGCTCCTATGGGAAGCAGCTCTGAAGCAGAGAAGTCTTTAAAAATGAAAATGTTGTGGCTTCTAATTGCACTAATCTAATCTGGAAGGGCCTTCTGAATCAAATGGAGCACCGCACAACACCATCTCCTACGTTCTGCGAAAGCCACTTCCGAAGAGAGTTGCAGGATTCAGAGCTCGGGGTGGCCCGCCCGGCCTGGCCTGGTCCAGCCATGCTCCCTGCTGATTCCCAAATGTGGTTTGTGGCCACTGCCTGAGGGTGTCCATGACCCAAGGGCTCCAAGTGGCTTGTTCCAGAGATGAACACATCCGACAAGGAAGCGCTCTCGCACAAGGGCTGGCCAACATCCAGATCCTGACTTTTTGCCAGCTCTGTGACCTTGTGCCGGCTATGTAACTTTGAAACCTCAGCTTCCTCATCTGTAAAATGGGCTGCCATGAGTACCAGTTTCATGGACCTGTCGTAATAATTGAATAAAATCATCTATTGAAAGCCTTAAAAAGGGAAATTCACCAATTTAGTTCCTTCCTTTAGCAGATTCTTTTTTCTCCTCATCTCACGTGAACTTTCATTTAGATTTTAAGACCGTCAGAGAGTCATGGCCCTTTGGACAAATTAGTCTTGTATCTCTCAGAGAGTGGTAGGAAAATAGTCGACTTCTCAGGTTAATTAGGGAATGCAAGGTGAACACAAAAGTGTGCCCATAAGAAGCCGAGACAATTAGCCAGATTGTGATAGGATCTGAATGCGTTTCTACAGCCTTGAATTTGGGCTTTGTTTCTTGCACAACTTTTGTTTTGATACAGTTCGGGGCAGGGCTGCTGAGTGGAGCCCTGTGGCATAACACGGCATGCATTTTTTCTGAGCCAAACTGCCTGGACCTTCAGGCTGCTCAGACTATTGCCAAAAAAACCCAAACCCAAAAACAAACAACATTTTGAGGAGAGGTGTCATGTGAGTACCTCACCATCAAGGGCCAAGTTCAACTTTCCCTCTGCACCAGGTTATCTCTCCTGAGCGGTCCATTGTGTGGTGTGAGCAGGGGGTGAGGTCTCTGGGAGGGGTCTGGCATGGGAGTGGCGGGTCAGTGGGCAGAGTGTGGCTGTCACATGGGAGTGGCTGGGGTACCATATGGCAACTATGGTCCAAACCTGGTTTCAAGGAGTAAAGGGACATTGGCAAACGTGCAGTCCAAACTTCTCCCCTTGGAGATGGGAAAAATAAGGCACAGAAGTGTTAAGTGACTTCTCTGCAGCTGCACAGCCAGGAAGTAACCGAGCTAGGTGTAACAAATCCGATTCTCAGTTTGGTATCATTCCATCACTTGTTTAATAAGCCTTTACTAGAGCAAGATGTGATACTCGCTCCTAAAGAGCTCATAGTCCAGTGGCAAAGATAATATGTCCTTACAGATTTTGAGCTAATTCTGTGCAGTTCAACCAAGATTTATTACCATCTCCCCTGGGTTTCTCTCTGTGTGCACTGTTGGGACACAGGCATGATGGAGACCCACCGGGCTACCCATCTGGTGGAAGAGGCAGTGAGCAGTCACTAGGTCTGAGACCTCTTTTGTGTAGGACTGGATTATATCAGGTGATTTTCACGTTGAAATGTAGCTCACTGAAGCTTAGTACATTCAGCTGAGTTCAATCCTGGACAGGAACACCCCCTCTGCCTATTGCCAATGCTACTATGATTACTCCTGGCTGATATTTTTGAAAGCTTGGGGTGTGACATGCTGTGCTAACTGCCTTACAGACATTTCCTTTCATCTAACCCTCGCAACAACGCTGAGAGGTGCGCACTCTAGCCAGACCCATTTAACAGATTGGGAAAATGATGTTTAGGGAAGTTAGGTAACTTGCCCAGGGTCATACAGCTAAAGATGTCAAGTAGTTTGTTTCGAAACCCACCGCTGCTACAGGAATGGAGAACCTTATTTATGTTGCACAATGCACAGCCTCTGGATTTGGGCGTGGTTCTTTGCTCACGGTGTCAGAAGACCAGCCATGGGGTGTTTCTTTTCCCGGGGGTGGGGGTGGGGGTTTCTCTGTGCTGTTCCGGAAGGAGCCGTGGCATAGTGGAGGATTGGCCAGGGCAGTTGATGTTGAAGATGACCCTTGATTTGGGTTTCAGAAGACTGAGATGCAGCGACTTTCAGGCAAAGGGGGATTTTGGGGTGAACAGGCCGTTTTGCTTAGGATGCAGCGTTTGTGCTGGGAGGCAGCGGGAGGCAAGATTGACAAGATAGGTTGGGGGTAGCAATAATAATATTTGATCATAGTAATAGCAG